GACCTAAGAGGAACTGAAAGTAGTTAAGTATTTTATATTTGTGGAATGTCGTATTTTTCCAAAGAGCTCCAAGCTCTGAATACTCGGGGCCCTGGGTCAGGTAGAGAAAATAGAATTTGGTACACGCCCGGATAGGCTGATATGTTCCCCAAGCCCCCAGGGTCTGCAGTGCTGGGAGGCTCTTTTGTCATTCTGAGCTCTGTACTGTTAGGCCTGCAAGCCAGGGAAGCAGAATATGGCTGCAGTGGGTCAGCCACGTAGCCCAGCATCTCTGAGCTGGAAGAAAACTTATAGGTGAATCTAATGCAGCCATTTTGTTGTTTTATAAAGAGATTTTTTTTGCTATAGGACATGTCAACTCAATGGAGAGACAGAGAGAGGCAAAGTGAGAAATCACCCCCCAGGGGGGATGGCCACACCACACTCCCTTCTCCTCCACTCTCTTCTTGGGATCTTGGGCACGGATGCACTCACGCCTGGCATGAGTCTCAAGCCACCAGGTCCAGGACTTGAACTTTGGGCAGCCATGTGGGAGTCCAGCGCCCTAACCACTGTGCCACCTGCTGACCCCTATAACCTCTGATTTCATAGGTACGAACAACGCAGGTCCAGAATGGGAAGTGACTTGTCCAAAGGCACCCAGCCTGTCAGCAGCTCCGCCCAAACGTGCAGGGAGGGCTTTGCCGCTGCGCGTGCCTCTCCCGTCACGTGGGCCACGCTAAGACCTGCTGCCGGAAAGTGGGTGTTCATTTTCCTCAGTCCTTCTTGCTTCCGTCTCAAAGCAGAACAGTCCCTGGGCTCGAGGGGGCCTGGCACGCTTCCCTCCCCTCCTGCGCTCTAGCGGCATCTCATTCTGTGATCTTTGTCATTCGTGACAATGTATAGCAGGAAGCAAAAAATAGCAGTTTGATTTTTTTCCCCACGTTCCAAGTTGAGCTTGAAGTGTTGGCAGTTTAAAACGAACTACACAAATAAATCTTGTTTTGACTCATAGTCCAGGGGGTGGATAAATATGGAAACCCCCAAGATATAATTTTGCAGTCATTTTTTTCTTAGCATAACTGCATGCTTTAATGTGCTGAGAAATTTTTTGTTCCGGCTCCAGAGAAATAGCAGCGCTATCCCAGCTCAGTGTTTTTCATGCCTCCCAGCAAGTAGATATTAAAACACACACACGCATGCACACGCGCACACACACACCACAACCAACCGAACCCTGCACATTCAACAGGGTTGAACAGCTGCACGCTCTCAGTTGAATGCCAGTCCTCTGCTCCAAGCTGACAGCTCTTGTTATTTAAAGTCAGAGATGGGAGATCTTTTGAATTTCAAAAAGTCTGTCTTCTAACAGGCTCAAGTTCAGAGTAAAGGCAGCTAAAATGACCGAAGGTTACCGAAGGTTCTCTGTTACAGGACAGAACCCAGTGCTAGAAGCCTGTTCTACAGATCAGAGAATAGCGACTCTGAGAAGAGGAGAGACGTGGGCAAGTCACAGAGAGAGGGTGACAGCGCCAGGGCAGAGCCCAGCTCTCCTAAGAGAGAGAACGTGCCTGGCCAAGACCCGACCTGTCGTGACATTTGTGACCGTGTGAGCAGTGAAGGCTGGGCAGACCTGGGACTTGTTCAGCAAAGTTCCGAGGGCCTGAAGCAGGCACACTTCGGGCTTCTAAAAGGAAGCGTTGCTCTACTTGGGGGGCAATTATGAGCATCTCTGTGCCAATCGGTACACCTATTAGGTGTGAGAAAGGGAACTCTTTTTTTTGAGAGAGAGATTTTTGCTATAGGGCACATGCACTCGCCAGGAAGACAGACAGACAGAAAGTGAGAAAGCACCCCCGGGGGGATGGCCACACGGCAATCCCTTCTCCTCCATTCTCCTCTTGGGATCTTGGGCACGCACGCACGCACACGTGCCCGGTGTGAGTTTAAGCCACCAGGTCCGGGATTCAAACCACAGTCGACTCCATGGGAGTCCAGCGACATAGCCATTACGCCATCTGCTGGTCCCTGAGAAAGGCAATGTTTAAGCCGATGCTTGTTCAAGTCAAAGAAGACCACGAGAGACCCACCTCAGCCGAAGGCCCTCCCATGCCCATGGGTCAGAGAGGCCAACAGGTGGTGTGGTGGCTAAGGACGGTTGTGCAGTTCACATCCTGGACCTGGCAACTTGAAAAACACACTGGGCCTTTGCACATGCATGCCCCAAATCCCAAGAGGAGAATGGAGGACAAGGGATTGCAGCATGGCCATCCCCCTGGGCGATGCTTTCTCTCTTTGCCTCTCTGTCTTTTAGAAAGCACATGTGCCCTATAACAAATTAAAAAGAAAGAAAGAGGAAGAAAGAAGAAAGAAAGAAAGAAAGAAAGAAAGAAAGAAAGAAAGAAAGAAAGAAAGAAAGAAAGAAAGAGGAAGAAGGAAAGAAGGAAGGAAGGAAAGAAAGATAAAGGAAGAAGGAAGGAAGGAAAGAAAGAGAGAAAGAAAGAAAGAAAGAAAGAAAGAAAGAAAGAAAGAAAGAAAGGAAGGAAGGAAGGAAGGAAGGAAGGAAGGAAGGAAGGAAGGAAGGAAGGAAGAAAGAAAGAAAAGAGAAAGAAAGGAAGAAAGAAAGGGACAGACTCTGGGCTGGGGTGATGACCATGGACCGCCTGCCAGTGAGCACCCTCTGACCTCCCTCCTGGCCCCTTTCCTTTCTGCCCTGTCTTTGGAGACGGGTCTAATTCTCCACTGTCAGAGGCAGGCCAGGACCCATGGAAGGGAAATGAATTGTCCAGAGGGGTTGGCTCAGAGAGGAACGAGGCAAGAGCAGAAAGCACAGCTCCGAACCCACGCTGGGGACTTGGCTTTTTTCCTGCTCTTTCTAAGCTCTTTTATTTTTATATCCAGGAATTGCTTCTAAAAAAGAAAGAAACTGCCCTCTCTTTTCCGAAGGGCTCGCATGTGTCACACAGGGCCTAAGTGTTGGCCTTAGGGCTTCTCTCCTCCCTCAGCCTGTCAGTCACTCAGTGTCCATCACCCCCTTTCCAAAGCCTTGGCCCATGCCAAGTAATGAAACCACCTGGGTTAGAATTCTGCTCTGGGGTTTCAAGTCTGATGTTCATATTTTCAGAGAGTTTCCATGTGGAGAAATCCCACGAGCCTTAGTCATTCCTCACACGTACGTCTACAAATATCCTCTCCTGTGCTCCAAGCTGCAAGCCTTTGGCCCGTTTCCCTGCTTCCTCCTGTTTTCTTCCTTGTCCGCGAAAAACTTCGTAAAGTATTCCATTGCACAGCAGAGCCCGAGAACGGGGGTTTTCCTATTAACTAACACTGGGTAACAGGGAAACCCAGAAGTCTACGTCCGCCATACGCGGGCTTCTGACGCCCGAATCGGTGGAACACGGTCCAACCCCCTAGGCACATCCCCTTCCACGTAAGCTCTCCTGGGGCGTTTGGGGCACCGTGACAGACATGACTTAGCGTCCTGCAGAGGGACACCATCTTCAGAGTCCCAGGTTAGAAGACGCCGAGTGGCAGAGTCCCCTGGAAATAAGAATCTGGAGGAAAAGGCTAGCAAGCTGCCACCCCACCTACCGAAGAACCCTCATAATTCACTGACTGGTTGTCGAATGTTCTTTCCGAGTCTCTGAGCTGTGACGCTCTCATTTAATAAATGAGAAAGGTTTCCGCTACTGAGCAGTGATAAAAACAAACGTGCAGATTAGGGAAATATTGAGGCTTAATTTGGAATGTAATTGCATTTAAACCTGACAGGGGCTCCCCTATCCGGGGACCTGAGGCACGTATATGAAATGAGAGGTGAGGAGCTGCAGAAGTGGCAGGACTTCTGTTACCCTGCAGTCCTACTTATTCGTAAGAAAACATGTAGCTACAACAAACAACTATTTCTTACCGAATTATGATGAAGAGCCCCTAATTAAATCTTTCACAAAGTAAAAATAACAGCCCGCTGGGGGCCAGCAGGTGGCGTGGTGGTTAAGGCACTGGACTCCCACGTGGCCGACCACGGTTTGAATCCCAGACCTGGAGGCTTGCTTTCTCACTGTTTTGCTCTCTGTTTCTCTCTGGTGAGTATATATGCTATATAGCAAATTAAAAAATAATAATTCATTTCATTTCATTTAATAACTCTTAAAAAGCTGTGAACACTACTATATTCACTCTCTGAGTGCTGTCAGGACCCTTGTCTGCCCAGAGGCCCACCTGTGCCTCTCTTTCACAAGGGCAGGGACAGGCCCCGGCTGATGGTCCACAGCCCTCTCAGGAGGAGACGATGCTGACGCCACAAGTAAGTCCGTGTTACTTCCGGCCAGAGAAGTGCAGCTATGGTGGCCACGTGGCTCCTCCTCACTCGGGCTTTCTGCAGAGCCAGAGCACCCAGTGACAGCGATCTGGAGTGCTCACCTCTGACCAGGAACACCAGTCTTTTGTGGGGCTCTGGGGACCCGAACCTTGCAGCAGATTTGTATCCAATGCATGGAGAGTGCTTGTGCTCACGCGAGATGCTGGAAATGCAGCTTCTGATCAGAGCGGCTCCGGAACAGCACAAACTACATTGCAGTAATTCCCTTGGTTCAGCCGCATGTCCCACTGCAGGTCCAGGTCCAGTCACTTCGGAATGTCCTCAAGGGCGCTGTCAGCCCTGGAAAGGGAGGCGCCGTCCTGCTGCCCATTCCCCGTAGACCTGGGGAGCGTGATCTTCCACCAGGCCCTAAGGGAGGGCTGATGGAGGAGCCATCATTGCAGGGTGGGGCGGGGAGGCGCTGGGAGACAGGTGTCGGGTAGG